GAAATGGTCCTCCAGCTTTACCTAACGCCATACGAGCATCTAGATTCAACTGAAGGATTTTGGAGGCCAGTGCTCCAGTGAGTTCAGTTCTTTGTTTCTGGAGTCCTCTGATGAGTTCAGGGAGGAGAAGGTAAAGTCTCAGAGCTTCCACACCAGCTGGATTTGGGTTCAGAGATGGCAGGAGTTTATTGTGAACCACTTTCACCACCTGAGGGCCAAAAACCATCAACTGCATCTCACTCATGCAGTTTAAAATAAGTTTTTTTTTAAATAAACATTGGTTTCATCATTACCTCTGATATCAACCCTTTATTCTCTAATAACTTTGCGAAGGATGTTTTAACCAGATAAAAATCCAATCCACAATGCTCCTCAGAAGTCTGATAATGTTCATCACAACTACAAGGACAGAAGGTTACATAAAATCTGTGATGAAAGGAGTGATTTTAGGCACAGAAATGACTAGATAAGACTAGCTAATTTTACCTTGTTTTGAGGAAACTTCCGTTCAGAGAAGCAGCCGAGGAGAACACTGTGTTTATTTCCCTGTAAACAACAAAACAATATTTATAGTCCATAATATGCTCTAAATTGCTCAAAAACACAATCTCTAATTAAATTAAAAAGTAAGAATCCTAAGATTCATTGCTAAATTGTGTAAACATTATATAAAATCAATCTGATTGTTCTGCTATTTAATATTAAGTTTTAAAAGAAGGACGAATGCATTAATAAGGTCACGACGCACACCAGATGTTTTTTTAACAATATTTTAAGAGCATACACAAATGCGGTAAACTGGATTTTTAGCAATATCATGAGAAATCATGTGAACAGAAGCTAAGCCAAACACTCACTTCTTTATTGTTGGCCATGTATCACTTCCAGACACCCATCGGTCAATCATTCTGTCATTTAATGTCAAAACCCCTTGGTGACTGGATTCTGACTTACTTTCAAGCTCCTAAAAAATACAGAAAAGTCAAATATAAGTAATCACATTGCAGCTATAATTGTATATTTATTAATGAAAACTGCCTGTCTTACTTTGAAAAACGAGGCAAAGGAATGATTCTCCCCAGCGATGAGTTTTTCAAATGTATATTCATGATCACATTCTGTGTGCAACAAACATTTCGTTTACAGATCTGTGCAACATAATGAGTAAAACAATATTTATAACAAAATAACCTACTGTTAATATATTTTTAGGCTATTTACCATTTGACAGATCCACAGGGAAAGGCACAGACTGCTTGATCATTTCTCCATTTCCCAGCTTCCCTTGCATAACACATCCAAATGAATAGATCAGCTTTGACGATTCGACTGATACGAGTGTGTGACGTCTTTATTCAAGAAAGAATCAAATGCCTAATTACTGAGCTGATCTCAAACATTAGACATGTTAACCATGTGAGGAAATGAAAATAAATCTGCATTACTGCATTGAAACACTGACTGCTTCTGAAAAGTCTAGTTTACCTCCCACATGTGACCTGGGACACTTTAGATCCCCACAGTTCAGCAACGACCCGCGGATGATGTTCGTCTTTAAATGAGTTGTGCCCAAGCTGGCCAAAACCTCCTGATCCAAATGTGAACACTGTGCCGCCCTGAAACACAAACAATTAATTACATTTTCTGTCAAGCTTGTTGTATGCTAAATATGGTATTATTTCAGTGTTTCCCACAGAATTAGATTCTATTTGCGGTGGTGTGGTGTTTGGGGACCGGGGGGGGGGGGTTGGGGGGGGGTGATGGGTGCATAAAGGACAAAAGCTTAGGCCGCGCCACAGGGGCCTATATGTATTGTAATGGTGCAAAAAGTCTCTCTCAACATAGAGGCATGTTATCAATAACCTTTATTGGAATATAAATGTACATAAGCTTAACTGCAGGAATCTGTGAGGGCAACGGACAAGAAAATTGGTGTACCCAGGGCAGGCTTAGTAACAAATACCCTTGTATGGTTGTCTTGTCTATACACTAAACATTATTGCTGTCAAAATAAATGATTAATCCAAGTGATTAATCAAAAAATAAAAATAACTCATAATCCTGATTGATGCCTTCCTGATTGATACCTTCCTGGTATGTACTATGCTCAATTATATAGCAGGGCTCTCAAGTTTTGAAGACAGGCAGCAGGAGTGACAGAATCACAATTCCAGGATATGCTTTTTTTCTGGTTGTTGCGTTAAATCTTACCCAGATACAATAGTGCTATTTTCTGATTGGCTATTGTGTAGCCCTTTCTTTTTTTTGATTGGCTGATAAGTGGCAGGCTCGACTGCAGAACTCCAGGGGATACGCGCTTGATTCCTGCTGCTTCCATAGTGAGAGCGGCGCGGCCAGAGACATTTTGGGCGCTGCGCATATTAAATATATTATAAACAGTTTTTCCGCGAGAGAAATACAAAAGACCGAAATGAGTGACTGTGATGCTCAATGCGTGACACTTGAGAGCTCTGATATAGCTAATGGCAACAATGTTGCAGGTGCGATGCACCGTGTACAAACCGGAATATGTTTATACTTCTCATCCAACCACAATCAAATGCACTCTATCCAGATGGCGCGATTTATCTGGATAGGTTTTTTTTTTTTTTTACGATGACAAGCAGAAATGAAAACAAGCCGAAATGAAAAAGCAGTAACAAGGCTATTTTTAAAATGTAAGGAGTAGAAAGTAGCCTACAGATAATTGCGTGAAAATGTAAGGAGTAGAAGTAAAAAGTCGGCTGAAAAATAATTACTCCAGTAAAGTATAGATACCCAAAATGTGTGTTTGGACAGAATACGAGACAGAGTTCTTTATTACATTCATAAAAGACCAAATACAGGAATACTGGCTTCTAAACCTCAAAGAAATGCCACAATCAAGACCTCGGAGCAGATATAAGTGAGAAAACACCTCACATGTGCCGCTCACAGTATAAGGGTCTTTCCTTGCCATTAATGCTTGGATATCACGCTTAGGACTACGTCTCTTTACATTAATAATAATAATAATGTCTAGTGCGGTGGCTGTGATTTAAATATAAACCAACCAACATCCGTTGCCATGATTTTTGGAATGACTGATCACGATAGGAAAAAATGACGTTTTAGTTGCATAACATCGTTTAATGGAAACGCCGTCATTTCGCAAGCGCGAATCTGTAATGGAAACGCGACAGCATTTAACATAGATTAACTTCTCAGTTATAGTGTTCATTATACTAACCATTCAACTCCGGATTGATTCTGGAGGAATAAGCACCGGCAACAATCTCATGTTTTGATTCAGATCGTGCTCGAAGAGGAGGGGCAGGGCTATTCGCGTCTCCGTTGTCAGTTTGTGAGAGGGGGAGGGAGGGAGCAAGCTGCGCGCAGCTCTACAATAAAATACAATTTTATATTAAATAGTTAAAAAATCTGAAAATCAATCCGTGGCGGTCAGCGTTGATATTGTGGCGGGCCGCCACAAATTAATGCATGTATGGGAAACCCTATAACATGGATATTTAAAATATTAAAAAATACTACCTTTGATAGAGTCGCAGTGTGTTCCCCTCCACATGAGATGGACACAGTTTTCTTTCGGTTCAGACTATTTACAACCGTTGGGACGTGTCTGTCTGTGGTGTAAAAAAACTGTAAAGTAATTCATCACTTGCTTTAATGTACATTTGACACAGTATTGCACAAATGCAGTACAATTATATGTGCTTTTATACCATCACTGATTTAGTGATGAAATATTCAGACCTGTAGTGTCTCCGAGGCCCAGCTGTCCAGCCGAGTTCTTTCCCCATCCGAACACGACTCCAGAGAGAGACAACACAAAGCTGTGGTCTCCTCCAGCGCTGATCTGAGCCAGTGGGATCCCATCTAGACTCTCCACACGTTGAGCTGACAGAGAGCTGGACTGTTCTTTCTCCAAACCCAGCTGACCGTGAGAGTTATCACCCCATACAAACAGCTGACCATCTGAAAGACCGACAACAGCTCTGCATATCTACACTCAAATGCAAAAAACTTTATGTCAATCATAAGATGTCAAAAGATTAAAACAAAACATCAGCTGTTAGATGAAATGGTTGTGAATACCCCTGGTTAGTGCCATTGAATGCTGGTCTCCACACGCGATCTGAATCACTTGCTTGTTTTCCAGACCTTTAAGAGGACTGCAGAGAAAAGACAATCTGTCATTTGTTATTATTATTATCATTCATGGTAATACTGTTATGCCTACATAAACATACCGGTTTACAGCCACAGTAGTCGCCCCAGCAGCAGATTTGTCCATAATGTGAACTGGATGAAAGCTTATAGGTGACTGAAGTAGGCTGAAAGCAAACCCGCTGGTTTCAGCATAAACGAAACCACTAAGTGAAACTGTTTGGGAATCATATCTACAAATGTTTTCAATTGAGTAATTGGCTCAATGTACAACAAAGAAAACATAATAGTTGAGGAATGAGGAAAGTTCATTGGAAAACGAAACAAAAACTTAAAGGGATATTTCAACCCAAAAAAATATATTCTGTGTAGTTTTCTCTTAGTCTTCCACGGAGGCACAAAAGAATGTGTTTGACAAAATATAATGGACTAAAAACGAACAAAAGTCAACATTCAATCTATTTTCATGCAACGAAAATAAATGGTGACAAATCGATTCTGTACGCGATATGTCATACATCTCTCCTACATCAAGATCTACATGTCGATACATATATTTTAACACATATACACGCTAGGTTTGTCTGTGTGCGATCAAGTTGAGACAAACAACATATTGGCGGTGGTATGTGAATAATTTTTAAACCAGTTCGCTCTTTTGCTCTTTTACATGATTTACTGAGTGCCAAACTACTGTTTCTCCTAAATCATTGGTTTAGATCCATGTCAATCACAGAAATCTGGCCAATCAACTGATTGAACTCCACCGACGAAACGGGGGCTTCTGATTGGTTCACTGGTATTTTCCTTCAGAGGCGGTCGGTGCAGAGCTAAGCTGAAACGACTCTGAGAAGAAATGACCGACTGTTTATTACCATAGTATATTACATATACTAACTCGTTAGAATAAACAAAAATAAAAATCGAAATTCATTGTTATCACACAATTTGAAGGTAGGTAGTAAATAAAAATCTAGAAATTATACAATATTCTCGTTTTGTTGTCGCGGAATCCGTTTTTGCTAGCAGCTCGAGCGCCGAAAAGCTCGAGGATTCATCTCCATTTTGCTTGTTGTGATTAATGTTATCATTAATAAGCTTCTTCTGGTAGAATTTAAATACGTTTATATAGTTGTTTTGCGTTACTAGTTATGTTTAAAACGTCACTAACGAGCTGTTTGAAAGCATTGCTAACATGCTGTTATATAAGCGGAGTGTTGCGTCATGTTTATTTACACTCTTTTTTCATTTTTAACTTGTTGATTATTTGCCCGTGTGTCTTAATTTTGGGTTATTCTCCTTTTAGATGAATGTATTGATGTTGTCTTCGCAGGTTATGTGTATATAATCTATTACATCTTGTGTGAATTAAATAGGGGGTGGGGCACATTTGCGTATAACCTTGTTACTGAATGACTCCACTGGTACAGGCAGTAAACCCGCTGTTTAGTGTTTAAACAAAGGCTGTCTATCTGCTGAGTATCGACTACCTAGGCAGCATTTTTGGGCATGTATTATACAATGTTTTTTATTGAATGACTTAAGTGGGAGGGGCTGTAAACATGCTATTTAGTTTTAAAACAAAGGCAAGTCATTCATTTGTTCATTTCCTCCTTGTTTTGCAGAGAACTCCTGGTCAAGACTGTAAATTCTTCAAGACACACTTTCTGCACTGAATTTCGAAGCGTATTTTGGGTCCCATTTTGTATCGGACTCTTCCCACCTGTTCCATAAGTGTGGTGTCCAGCCACGGAGTATGTCAGTGGCTCTTCTCATGCGATATGCCACGCTCAGCGGGTCCCGTGTCTGCAGCAGGGCCGCCCTCGGCCTGACCAGCGCCCATCAGGAAGACCCGAGACGGTCTCTACACACTCCGTCATCTCCACGGTGCAGTAACTCCCGCTTTGATCCAGACGGCAGTGGCTGTCCGACTACCTGGGACTCCTTTGGGATCTGGGACAACCGCATCGATGAGCCCATCATGCTTCCATCAAGCATCCGCTATGGTAAACTCATTCCCAAAGTTAGCCTGACCAAGGTCGGCTGTGCCTCACTGATTGGTCAGCGGAAGGAGAATGAAGACCGCTTTCAACTATCGCAGATGACGGACAACATAATGTACTTTGCCGTTTTTGATGGGCACGGGGGTGCAGCGGCTGCTGAATTCTGCCACAAGAACATGGAGAAGCATATTAAGTAAGGATCAGTCGTTTAATGACTGTTATGGGAGTTTTATTTTATTTGAATAAAAATCTCCAGTTTTGTTGGCACGAATATGCATCCGGCTACTAGAAAAACTCACGATTGTGCGCACATAGAGGCTCAAGCCGTATGTTTAGTAACATAAAGCTTCAGAGGTTTCCTTCAGGAGATGGGCTTTGGAATCTGTGTTTTAGAATAACTAACTGTTTATGTTGCATTTGGTGATTTTTGTTTCAGAGACATTGCAGAGGAGGAGAATAACTTGGAGTTAGTTTTAACCAGGGCATTCCTTGAGCTGGACAAATCGTTAGCCAGGCATCTTCACTTCAGTGCAGATGGTAGGTCCTATTTCACTGATTTATTCTTTTTTGAAAGCATGCATGTTACATGAATACATAATACTCTGTAGTCCCTCAGCTCAGTTGTAGAGTCTTAATGCTTAAGTATTGCTTTGATGCATTAGGTATATATGTAACAGAGCCAAATTGACGTTTGTGAGCAGAACATGACAATGTAGTCTAAAGAAATATTTTTGTTTAATAAAAAAAAACAAGTGATCCCTAATGCAGAGCAGCGAAGGCCTGTATAATCTTCTCGTGATAGTTCACAGACTTCTCTTTGGCTCTGTAAAATGCGTCCATCCTAACATAAAGATAGCACTTGTATATACTAGGGGTGGGTAAAAAAAAATTGATTCCTAGATGCATTGACATTCTTTCTCCAAATTACGAACTGTTCATCACAATTTCAAAATAGAAGTTTAAACCCTCGGTCTGAGTTTGAATGTTTTGATGTCCACATGTTCTTGCTCAAGAAATTACAGTGGCTGTAGCATTTCTATCATAAAGAAGTGAACACATATTAAAGATTAAATAAACTTGAGTTAAATGTCATTTGGCCAGTATTAAGGATGGATTTGATCTGTTGTAAAGTGTGACAACACCAGGCCACTGGCGCTCTCTGCAGGCATTTGTTATAATACATAATGTACAGAAAATGACCGTTTATATTATGTATTTTAACAGTGTTGTTCTGTAAAACCATATGATTACTTGCTTTTGATACTTTATTTGAACCATATTATTGCCTCGTTGTTCAGTGTTAAACCATGACTTCTGGCAAATTTTGTGGATAGAAATGGACATTTTGAGACATACAAATATGACATACCATCAACATATTCAAGACATGATTATTGCAGCACGTACCTTGAACTGGTCACAAACAGAAACCTTAATTTTAAGCAGGATTATTCATGTTTTTCTTTTGTGTTATTAATTAATAATATATTGTTCACTCAATGTGTTGATGTTAGATAACGCATTAAGTAATGTTAATGAATGGTATCTATCTTCTTATTGTAGTGTTACCAAACTATACAGGAGATAAAACGTGTTTTATTTGACTTGACTGTACTTTTATTTAATCCAAAATGGTGTTCATATTTAATTTTAAAAGGGCTTTTTAAACCTGCTAAGAGTTATCCAGCCAAGAATAAGCCTAGAACTGCTTTTTTGACAGACTAACATTAATGACATAGGGATGCACCGATACTGATACCAGTAGTCGGGTGTCGGTCCGATACTGTGCTCATGTAGGCTACTCGTAAAACTACCCCGATACAACCACACCCGAGTCCACTTTAGGGGCCGTTCACATATCTCGTTTTTTGCGCTCAAAAAACATCTCAACATCTCATCTCAATAGGTCATGTGACAAAAACCAAACAATCAGCTTCGGCTTTTTATTTCTCATCTCCATAAATATATCTAGTAGTAAAGCTAATGCAAGGGATAGAAATCAAATAATTCTTTGCTGATACTTCCTCGTCCTCATGGAGAGCGCAGTTCGTACCGCTTTCTCCTTTCCACAAGCGCTTGCTCTCCCGTGGCGTCTCGTTGCTATGCAACCACGAACAGAGGCGCGCCTGGAAAAACGAGCGCGCCGCGTCGCTTCTATTATGAGCGTGCTTGCTACATTTGAAATAACAAATTTGCACGTGCAAAAAACGCGGTCTATTTTTATTACCACGGAAAAATATCAATTACTCGAATAATCGACCGATTACTCGGTTACCAAAATAATCGTTAGCGACAGCCCTACTCATTTATTTTATTACTGTTCATTTTTACAGAAAATTTGCCTACAAGGTACCTTAACTTGATAAAGATTTGCATCCAGTGAAAAATCAAAATGCATCAGGAATTATTTCGAACAACATCATGACTCCTTGAACTGAAATAGTATCAAATATTAAATTTGATTCCCACCCCCAGTATATCATATTAATGCATATTTAAAAATACGCTTTTGCCATTTTTCTTTAAAATAGTCTTTGTTAGATTCATGTGTGTTAATAAGGATATTAAATGCTGTTAGAATAAGTACGATTATGCCAGGCCCATCTTATTCATGTAGTGTGCGGCCCACTAGTGTGGCCTGCTGCGTGACATGTCCAATCTTGCCCTTTGTGTGTGCGTGTTATATCTACAACAGCCGCGGACCCAGCTTACCCCCTATAAGAGCTGCAGCTCTGCACTACCTTTATGGAGGCCGGAGGGCTAGATTGCTCCAGCGGGTCCTTGCGTGGACTTCTGGAAGGTTCCTGACCTTTCTCTCTCTCTTTTCCTTTCTGTCTTTCTCTCTTATCTCTCCTTTACTGTGCTCTGTCTTCTTCACATGTGTTGGTTGCTGGAAAATGATTAGTTAGTTGTTGTTGTGTTCAGAGCTTGTTTTCTGTGTATGGATAACTCTAGTTTTATTTGATGTTGTAGAAATGAAAAGCACAAGATATTTACTGTGGGAGAACAAAGTAATTTCCAGTGAAGAAAAGCTGTTTGCTTTTATGCTATTAATGAATTTTTGTAAACCAAACTGGTGTTTACTGTCATATGTGCCATAGCTAGTCAAAAAGACACAATGCTACCTGGTTGCCTTGACCAATCCAGTGCATCATCTCTTTTGGAATCTCCCTCTTTTTTGTTTTCGGTTTACGTTTTTATCAAAAGCTTTGCGTACATATTTATTAAATATGCACAGTATTGTGTAGTACAGTACACTAGAATTATGTGCATTTCTCAGAACAGGACTAAGAATTAAAGCTTTTTAGTTTCTGTGTGTGTGATTAAAAAAATTGTACAAAAACTCACTATTGCGGATTATTCTGTATCGGTGACTTTAAGCGCATCACAACTAACCATTCTGCCTCGGTCTCTGGTGTGTTACAGCCTCTCTGTTGAGTGCAGGGACCACAGCCACAGTGGCTCTGCTGAGAGATGGGATCGAGCTGGTGGTGGGCAGTGTGGGGGACAGCCGTGCCATGCTGTGCCGCAAAGGCAAGGCCCTCAAACTCACTGTGGATCACACACCTGAGAGAAAGGATGAAAAAGAGAGGTACAGTTTCCCTGGGAGCACTAGTTTCTCCAAGCAGATTGAGGCACTGTGAGAGCACCTCTTTTGATCGACATGTTTGTTTCTGAAGGATACGCAGGACTGGAGGTTTTATTACGTGGAATAGTTTGGGTCAGCCTAATGTCAACGGCAGACTGGCCATGACGCGCAGCATTGGAGATTTCGACCTCAAGACGGCAGGTGTCATCGCAGAACCAGAGACTAAGAGAGTTTCAGTGAGAGCTTTTTTTTTAAAATTCACTTTAAATATACAAAATGTCTTCTCTTTCTCTCTCTCTAGAATTATATTATCATTTTTTTTTATTTTAACATAAATACTTTTAACATAAAAAGTTGTATTGATTTAAGTGTACCTGTGTTGTCAGTTGCATCACGTCCATGATGCTTTCCTGGCACTCACTACTGATGGCATCAACTTCATCATGAACAGTCAGGAGATCTGTGACGTCATTAACCAATGTAACGACCCTAAAGAGGCCGCACAGCGCATATCTGAACAAGTGAGTCAAATAATCCAACATCCACCATTAAAGGGTTAGTTCATCGTTCCAAACCTGTAAGGCCTTTGTTCATCTTTGGAACACAAAAGATATTTTTGATGAAAACCATGAGCTTTCTGACCCCCCCCCCCCCCCCCATAGACTGACACGTTATTACCACTTTCAGGCCCAGAAAGGTAGTAAAGACATGGTTAAAACAATCCATGTGACTCCAGTGGTTCAACCTTAATGTTATGAAGCGACAAGAATACTTTTTGTGTGTCAGAGACTGAAAAGTATTCTTGAGGCTTCATAACACAACTATGTTTTTTTTAAGTCATACCGATCATCGTTTTCATGATTGATCGTCCCTGTAACGTCCCAGTATTCATGCACATCCCTAACCTAAACCATTTTTTTTTTATGTCCGGCAAAAACAAGAAGATTGTGATGCGTCCTGTTACCATTATATAAACCTACTCATTTATTCTGGTCCCTGTTGTGAATGCAGCAGGATTAAACATGCAAACGATTCGTAGTAAGTTAATTGGTTCTTTTCTGTCTCTCTCAGGCTCTTCAGTATGGATCTGAAGACAACAGCACTATCATTGTGGTGCCGTTCGGTGCCTGGGGCAAACACAAAAGCTCTGACGTGAGCTTCTCCTTCAGTCGCAGTTTCGTCTCCAGTGGCCGCTGGGCCTAAGCATAAATAACTCAAGACACTGATCGTTTAAGTGATACACAACATCGACTCACTAATCTGAGCTAAACAATGTGCAATATTCTCCTTATCCATCCTGTGAGGATCACCTCAAAAAGACCGTTAAAGCCAGAAGCCACATTTAATGTGGTTTTGGAGTTGATTTCTCTCATCAGAATGATTGTAAGCTATTTAGCCTAGAGAAGCACAATAAGCATTGAATTAATGTCTAAGACGGTGTTAAAGTTTTCCTGAGCTTTGAGGTTTTCCTTGTCTTGAAAATTGTTCTGCTAACAGTTATTTGGTGACCTCAGTTCTGGTTTGCTCTTTCGCAGATACAATACTTTAGAATAGTTTGCCTTGCTATAGTGAAATCAACATTTTAATGTCACAACGTGATTGCCAAGCACTTTAAGATTTTGGGAGGTTCCATTGTTTTTTGTAGTGTTGCGTGACGCGCAGAAGCACATTTCTGTGGTCTACAGTCTTTGTCTGATGGCTGTGCGTATTCCTAAGCCCATATTCACAGTTAGACTACTGTGTGTACTGAAATATGAACTCCGATTCCTTGTGCAAGCACACGTTTCTGTAACTCTGTCTCCTATTATTAGTGTGAATATACTTCTTCCAGCTTAATAACAACCAGCAATTTTAAAGCTACACTAAGAAATATTACTACCAAATGGAATCCGCAACCCAACTTGAGGACCATTGTGTGAACAAATCCATGATTTTTCTGTGCCTTGTCCATAAACGTCTGTTCTTATTTCTCATGCTTGAGTTATTCTGATGAGGAACTCAACTTTAGGTTCATAACTAAAGTTTTAAACTGTGACGTGTGCTTGTTTAGTGTTACCAGACAAACTTTTTTTATTCAGATTGTACACTTCAGTGGTTTCCCTACAATGCATAGATCAAAGTGCAGATGGTTGTTTTATTTTATTTATATAATGTATATGATGGACAGTTAACTTTATGGTGTATGTGAATGTATATATATTATATCTCAATACATCTTTTCTTCTAAAGTCTCCTAGTTACAGGAGAGAAGTGAACATTTATTAATTCATTCATCCTCTGACATGATTGTTGTAATTGCAGACATTCTGCTGAAAAATCTTCTGTCATGATCTCTGATGTTGTCCAGTGAATTTTATTTGTAGAGCCATACACACGTGACCTCAGCAAGTCGGCATCTCGGTTCAGATTTCTCCTTCAGCATTTCCTCTTATTTATGACTTTTAACAGCCTTTTTTTTTTTTTTTTTTCATGTCTTCCTCTTTAAGGTCCAATAGCGCTTCCAGTACGATAGGCGTCTTGTTTCTTTTCATATGTGCTGTTCTTCAGTTATTATGTTTCTGTCAGAATGTATTACATTCAGTGTTAACACAACTGTGCATGGATTTTGCCTAGAACAATCTGTAAAACAACTACAAGTGTTTCCTACTCTATATATCTGGACCTAACTTTGCTATTATTGATATGCAGTTTATTGTAAAATACAATGCAGCTGTGAATAAAGTTTCACCAGAAACATCTCCTTTGGTTAAACTTTTTTTTTTTTTACCTGTGTTTAAATACTGATGCATCTACTGTCCAATCTAATTGGATCCATTAAAAGTAGTGTTGTTGTGCGTCACATTTCTCATGGTATTAGGCACCACAATTATTTTTTTTCTAATTGACTTGCTACTAAAAGCATATTTTAGTAGGCCTGTAAACTTAAGTTTGATTTAAATGTCCTGCTGCAATGTGAATCATTTAACATGTTATATTATTGTGTCCCAGTAAATGTACTACAGGAAAATGTTCAGGTTTAAACGCTGATGATGCCTGTGACTGAATCCCACCCTCTGCTCCATCTATATAAGATCTCCGCTTCACCGCCTCAAGTCAGATTTGGATTTTTCCCATCTGATACTTGAACAGCTTAAACACTTGCGGACATCCAGCGGTCACTGCAGCAGCGAGAGGAGGGTAAGCATCTTTCTCTAATGTTTCACTGATGTTATATTAATACTGTAGATTGAAGGTTGTGGATGTTTATGCTACTGTAACCTGTTTGTAATCTGTAACTGAAGTGAAAAAATATGCTGATAAAGTGTTACAGCCACGTTGTATTAAATAATGGCTATTTTAACAAAAAGACAAGATATTATATAAAATCGCATATTCGTATAAATTATATAGCCATTTCAATTTCATACATGATACACTGGAATATAAAAAATTAAAGCTACATATGGAGAGACCGGGACTGATTGTAACCCATTCTAAAAGGAGAGTTTTATTTCTGAAAGTGTCTCTATAGACATGCCTTAAAGTCTAGGCTACAAAAAACTTATTGAACATTTAAGCGTTATAATTCTGAAAATAGCATAACAGTAACTCTTAAAATCTGAGGTATAGTTTATATTCCTGATACAAGCTAAGTACACTTCTCTTATTCATATTGTGTTTGTCTTTTTAGGGAGAAAACCTGGCAGAAGATGACTGACAATGTTGTCTTTGAGCATGATCAAATCACGGAAGAGACGGGCAGAAATGGGATGTCTTTGTCAAAGATCATTGCCATGGGGCCCGTGAAAAAGCAACATGGAGCCACTGTCAGCTTCCATAGCATCTGTTATAGAGTAGATCAGAAGAGCGGACCCATCTGCAAGAGGACAACAGTCCAGAAAGAGATTCTGGTAGACCTCAAGTGAGTCGATCTCATGCACAGAGACAGAGAGAGAGAGAGGTCATAATAATTCAGATCAGGGCTCCTTTAGTCTCTTTAATCTGTTAAAAGATCGTCCTCCATTGAGTTTTGGCAACATCTTTCTCGGGTTAAGCTTTTATTGCATTTATTGTAGTTATTGCATCATTGGAATTAAAAAAGATTCTATGGCATAACTCAGACCACTTCTATGATAATATAGGAATATTAGAAGGTTCTCCTAGGACATCATAAGAACTTAAACATCTATGATAATATTGGAATTTTAGAAGGTTCTCCTATGACATCATAAGAACTTAAACTTCCATGATAATATAGGAATTTTAAAAGGTTCTCCTATGACATCATAAGAACTTAAACATCTACGATAATAAAGGAATTTTAAAAGGTTCTCCTATGACATCATAAGAACTTAAACTTCCATGATAATATAGGAATTTTAAAAGGTTCTCCTATGACATCATAAGAACTTAAACATCTACGATAATATAGGAATTTTAAAAGGTTCTCCTATGACATCATAAGAACTTAAACTTCTACGATAATATAGGAATTTTAAAAGGTTCTCCTATTACATCATAAGAACTTAAACTTCTACGATAATATAGGAATTTTAAAAGGTTCTCCTATGGCAGGAGTTTTTTAAACTGGAGTGCTAAGGCATCTGAAAAAATTCTGGAAAAATAAGATAACTGAAGGCGTTAAAAGTAGTTGTATTATTTCCATTGTTCTGTTTTTGAAACGCTGGTTAGAAATCATTAGATGCATTGTTAATTTTTTTATGACAGCCTAGTTTATAGCCGTAAGAAATAAAATCTTTCCTTGCCATGTACAGGCATTCAAGAACAGGTTGTATTTTATTCATAGCTTGTATATAAACGAATGCATAAATATAAATAAATGCATATGTATTTGCTTCACAAGGCGATCATCATATTTGGGGGGCCTTAGCATCAAAATGTTTGAAAAAATAAAACATTTTAGTGGCATCATATGGATCTTGAAAAAAAGTCAGCACACCTTGGCTCCAATAATGTGAAAAATGTAGTAGACTCACACACAGGTGGTAACGTTTCGAGCACGTAGGCAAAGGTTAAACACACCCCGCCTTTAAGGTGGTGTGTTTAACTTTTAATTGTCTGACGAAGAGCCTACGTGCTCGAAACGTTACCATCTGTGTGTGAGTCTACTACATTTTTCACATTTTTACACCCAACTTGAGCAACGTAGTGTTTTGCTGTGGATGTGCGTGCTTTTGGATCTGATTTTATCATATGGATCTTAACGATAGTTCTCTTACGACATCACAGGAATAAACAATTCTCCTATGCCATCATATGAAATGTACAAAAGTTATCTTATGAGATCGCAGGAACTTTAAACGGTTTTCTCTCTGGCTTCAGAAGAACTTCAGTAGATTCTCCAGTGGCATGAGGCTTTACAAAACCTTTTTACCTTTACATGTTCTGCATTACTTGTGTGTTCACCAGAACAATGGATAGCAGAAAACTAGAATGCTTTTCCTTAATGAGCTTGACATTTCCCAGAACCAAGTGCATAGTTTCTTTGGACATTCTCTCTATAGTGTTAGTGTCAATTATATGATATTATGAATGGGTTTGTGAGTCTAATCTCTTGATCTCTTGGCTTGCAAACCCACCAGGGTTAAATGCAGTCAAGTGTGATCTTGACCTAATGAAAAACCCAGTTTAACTACGGGTCTCGACATCACCTAGATGACCCAGTTTTAAACCGTGTTATAGTTTGATAACCATTTAAGATCTCTTAAATGTCAGGAATTTAATGACAATTAGATTCATTGCTTAGATGAGTAGCATTTAATATGGCGCTCTACATCTTTTAGACTAGCATAACAACATCTGTGCAATAAGTGTTTCCACCGGGCCCGATGAATTCAATAGCAAGTGACATGAACATAATCTCATTTTTATCTCCCTTTTCAGTGGGATCATGAGACCTGGTTTAAATGCTATTTTGGGTCCTACGGGAAGTGGCAAATCTTCGTGAGTACATATTTGACGAATTCACATCTTAATAAGATATCAGTGCCAAATGGATTCCGGATTGAAGGGGAGATTATTTTTTGTTTAACAAGCTTTTGGAGTATCTTTCCTGACAGTTTCCTCCAGGAATACGGGATCAGATGAATGTTAATGCAACGTTATCATCCTCAAATGGAGTTTTTCTCTCTATCTATCAGGTTTTTGGATGTACTTGCAGCCAGGAAGGATCCTGCAGGTCTTTCTGGAGAAGTGCTCATCAATGGAGCCCTTCAGCCGCCTAATTTCAAATGTCTTTCTGGTTATGTTGTCCAGGTACAATGCATGCATGAAATGAGCTCTATATATGAGTCTAAAATGAGTTGCTTAAATGCTTATAAGGTGTAGGAATGGGATATTGGGATTCAGCATAGAGTTTCCTAGCAATACATTATACGCAAGGTTTGTGTGTATATGTTAAGGATGACATTGTGATGGGCACTCTAACGGTGAGAGAGAACCTCCGTTTCTCGGCCGCACTGCGTTTGT